CCATCAGGTCCACCTCTACTGATTGACAGCAGCAGAGGGCGGGTACAATAGCTAGTTTGCTATTAGCTATTGCAAATTGAAATAGCCAATAGGAATCTAGCACCTATGAACCTATGGCCAAAAATGTATTTATTTTTTTTCTATTCTGACACGGCTCCGTGTCAGAATAAAGAAAAGAAAAAAAAGAAACATCAGTGTTTCTCTCCTTGGCGGCCGGGAGCGGGAGACTCCCAGAGCGCCCAGGAGAGTTTTGTTTTTTTTTGACGGTAGCAGAACCGCCGGCCAATAGAAAAGTTGGGCGGAGCTAGCTGTCATTGCTAGCTCCGCACAATTGTTTTCTATTTATTTTTTTCTACTTTTTAAACAATTTTTCTGTTCTGCTCGGTCCCACAGAGGAACCGAGCAGAACGGCATTCGGCTATTCACTCACTGCTGTTCAGCATCTATAAGAATAGACCGAACAGCAGTGAGTAGCTTGCCGGAAGTTCAGCTTACGCGATCCAGATGTTGGATCAGCTGAGCCGAACTCCTTCTGCACTTCGGGTCGGCCGAACATGCAGAGCATGTTTGGCTGACCCGAAGCCACCCGATGTACGGCTGAAATCAACCGTACCACCCTGAAGTGAATAGCCGAACAGCGTTCGGCTCACTTCGCTTTAGGTCGGTCATTCACTCGGCTGCCTACGGCAGCTTAATGAATAGACCCCTATGTCCTCCACCGCTACCACCTGCTAACTCACTCACTGCCCAGGACATTGCAATTAATTTCAAAAACAAAATAGATGCAATCAGATGAAATGCCCACTGTCCAGTCACCTCTCCCTGTTTATGTACCTGGCCCAGCATTGCACTCGTTAGTTTCCTCTTTTAACCCTGTCTCCACAGAGAAGGTTGCAAAGCTTCTATCTGACACCCACCTCACCACTTGCCCCCTGGACCCGGTTCCCTCACCGCTACTCTGTTCACCCTCTTACTCTATCCTAGACTCTTACTCACATTTTTAATCTCTCACTCTCTACTGGAATCTTTCCCTCCCCTCTAAAACATGCCCTGGTCACCCCAATACCCAAAAAACCTTCACCGGACCCCACCAACCTCAGACCAATCTCCTTACTCCCATTCACCTCCAAACTACTAGAACGCCTCGTCTACAACCGCCTGAGCTGCAACCTCAACCATAACAACCTTCTCGATCCCTTACAGTCCGGCTTTCGCCTCCTACACTCCACTGAAACCGCCCTCCTAAAACTTACTAATGACTTACTAACAGCTAAAAACAATGGCCACTATTCCTTACTCTTGCTATTAGACCTCTCTGCTGCTTTTGACACTGTTGACCACCAGCTGCACCTCACAAAAACTCCACTCGCTTGGCCTACAAGACTCTGCTCTCTCATGGTTCCCCTCTTACATATCTAGGCGCTTTAGTGCCACCTACAAATCTAACTCCTCCCCTCCTGTCTGTTGGGGTCCCCCAAGGCTCTGTCCTTGGACCCCTTCTCTTCTCTATCTATTGTAACTGCCTCCTCATTGGCCTTCCACTACACAGGCTATCCCCCTTCAGTCTATCATGAATGCAGCTGCTAGACTCATTCACCTAACCAACCGCTCAGTATCTGCATCCCCCCTCTGCCAATCCCTACACTGGCTTCCTCTCGCCCAAAGGATAAAATTCAAAATATTAACAGTCACTTACAAAGCCATCCACAACTCTGCCCCCGGCTATATCACAAACCTTGTCTTAAAGTATCACCCTAACTGTCCACTGCACTCCTCCCAAGACCTTTAGCTCCCTTGTCAACTCCTCCCATGCTCGCCTCCAGGACTTCACTAGAGTCTCCCCCATTCTGTGGAACTCTTTACCCCAACCTGTCCATCTATCTCCCCTCACTGACTGCCTTTAGGTGATCCCTTAAGACTTATCTCTACAGGGAAGCCTATCCCACCTCAACCTAACCACTCAACCATCACGTTCTCAAACAATTCATCCCCACACAGCTCCCTCCTCATGTATCACTTGCCCCTCCCTTTTAGATTGTAAGCCCACAGGGGCAGGGCCCTCCTTACCATCTTGTCTTGAATTGTAATGTCTTCCTTATATTGTAAAGCGCTGCGCAAACTGTTGGCGCTATATAAATCCTGTATAATAATAACATTCCCAGGGCTGTGATATTGTGTCACTGCATTACGGAAGCACATCCTATGGGCATCTTCAATAACCTCTAGATCAATATGGTTATTGGGAGTGGGATAGAACGTCTAACAATTCAATATACAAAATGCAGATTTCATTGCTTTTGACCATAGGTACCCTGTGAAGTCTATGTAAAGACAAATGGTTAGAGTGCCAAATTCTTACGGCTGTGCGTTCCTGCTGGAGGCGCTCCTCTGTTTGGTCCCAGTGACTATTGTAATCAGAGCAGAAAGGGGAAATCCTCAATTTCAGAATGGTCTAGTGGGAACAAAGGTGGAAATTCCCTTACTTTCAGGAGATTTCGTTTTACTTCCTGTTGTGATGGAAAGTCCCCCAAGCAGTACACTGAAAGCAAAAAAAAAAAAAAAAAAAAAAGAAAGAAGCTAATTGAACCCTTTGCTACTCTATCCAAGACTAAAGAAAGACATTTTGTCTATACATACACTGTGTACTGGACATATCTTTAGTTGGTCCACTAATACCTGTCTGCTAAGATCAATGTTTCGTGGTCACAACTGTTTAACCCTTTTGCTGCCAAGCCCTCAAGCGCTTTACACCTCAGTTGGCCACACTATATCTGCAATGGTTCCCATTGTTTAGATTTTCTACTGCTGTGTTGCTAGCATTTGTAAAAGCCCCGCCAAACCATATATTTTCTGAAAGCGCAGGCCCGGTAGAATAAAAAGATGGTGCTACTAATTTTGTAGGCCATGCGATATTAAACCGATAAAAATACACAATTCAATGAATAAAAGCACACTAAAATTCATATCCGTGCTCAAAAACAATACTTTTCTGACTAAATCTAAAACATAAAACTGCATTGAGGTAATAAATAGCATATCTGTAAATTATAAATTGCGCCTTTTTGCAAAATGGTGATAAAAAAATGAAGTCCCGCAAAACTGTAAATAAGCGACTTGTCAAGAATCGTTTGTGCACTGTGCTGGTGTGATAAAATGATACAGGTGTACATATATTCACCAAACGCTGCAATGCGTGACAATGCTTTGCCACGTGCTGCCACACAGTTAAATTAAAAAGAAAAAAAATCAAGCACTGCGATGTGTTCTAACAACGCACCAGAGAGCATATGCATGGTTTATGCCACAAATATGGTGCATGTGTATGTTATGTGTCGGGGAGGGGGGTTTGTGTGCCATTTATTTTTCCTGTTGGGGCTTCAGGGAAATATTAGGGGTCTAAACAGACTCCTGACATTTCCCTTTTGAAATAAAGAAATTGGGGAGACAGAGTCCTCAATCTCTTTTTCTGCAGCCCCTGTTATAAATGAATGGAAAGCACTCGGTACAGAGTCTTCCCATTCATTAAGAAACATTCAAAAACATCATCCTGTGTATGGCCAGCCCCCCACCCATCTCATGAATAATCAAAGCTAGGGATAAGCTTCTTCTGTGCTGCCCAATCAGCTGTGAGTGGGGACTTTCCTGCCCGCAGCCTGACATATGCAAAGGGGCAGCATGCAATGACATCCTTGGCGTTATATGGCTACATACGTAGTTGCCCAATATAGCTATGTGACCATATAAGGTAACTGACATCAGCACAAGCATCCCGCCCCTCTGTTGACATGCAGCTGCAGGGAATGCCTGGCCCGCAGCTGATTTGGGTGGAAGTGCCCATGGCACTTCCTTGTTAGCAGCTCAAGTTCAGATTTGGACTGAGTTGTTCTAAACCTGAGCTCATCCCTAATCAGAGACAGACTGCCAACAGTAAGAAAGGCTATAGAATAAAAGACATTGCTGGATAGTTTTTGGTTCTGAAGACAAATCACAAAATTCCCAGCAAAGCGGAATACAAAAAAAAAAAAAAAAAGGAATATAATGCAAACTTGAAACTGTTTTTTGTAACCTCTTTGGTCATTGTTGTAACAAGTAATGGTGCGTGCCATATATTCCATTGGTGAATAATGATTACAGAGTTTCAGTGCTGACACAAATGTACTGGGGGAAAAGTGATAGAGAGGCATTGTGCACACGACAGGTGGAGGTATCCCCGATAATACAAGGTTAAAAATAAAGAAATTGAATGAGAAATTTATTAAAAGAAGTTTCCATACAAAGGAAATGTCTTGTACCAGTGTAAGGACAAGATTAAGCTGCCACAATAACGTATTATATTCCCAAGGTGCTTCTTCTTCAGTAACTGCTGTTCTGCCAGTGTTTGCTACCGTTGCCGCCATCCAGGAACCAGCATGTGTTTGATTGGTTTTCTCCTTGAACTGGCTCAGGATTGCATTTTTTGCTTAGGTTAGTGAGAAGAGCCGCTACTCGACACAACCGTCCTTTGGTTTAGGCTTGTAGCAAAAGCGGATGACTATGATGTGCTATACAGCTCATAGGGACCTACAAATTAAAAAAAAATTCTATGTCTTGGCAATACTTACAACCAGCAGTGTAACAACATGGGAGATTCTTGGCCATCCCCAGCAGTTGCCATGAGTATAATAGAACCTTTTGGATGGATGATAATGTTTGTGAAAATCTGTATGTTCTAGAGTCTGCTTTTTTTTTATTTTTTTTTATAGCACATGTTGGATAATAAAAACAATGACATCTTGTGAACCCCCAAATAAAAAAGAAACCCCACAAATGCACACAAAAAAGCAAGTGCTTCATTTGGTAAATGCCAGATCACTCAAGAGACTGTATGGTGGACACAGGAAACAACGGGTAAAGCAACAAATAACAGAGATGTGTCTTTGTAATGACAATTTAACAATATAAAAATAAAAAGGAACTTCCTGCCCTTCTCTTTGTCAGAAGCATACTCCTGGGTTGGCTGGTTTCAGAACAAATAACAAAAACAATATCAAATTATTTCCCAGAATGCCACCGACGTATGACTCATTCTAGTGGCCACAAAGCCGCTGCCCTGCACACACAGCTATTGCCGCCGGTGTTGAGATTGAGACTAATGGCAGTTTTGTGCCGTATATTTAAGGCAGCGTAGCCGGTACAGACCAGCTAGTCATTTCATCCCTGCAGGGAATGTAAGGGAATAACAAACTTGCAGCCAAAAGGTGAGTGATAGGTGATGCCCACCTCCTTGTACACCTTTTGGGGAATACCAATGTCACACAAATAGACACGGCCGGCCTGCTCACCAAGGGCCAGAGGAAGTCCCAACTGCAGGGACCATTTGGCATGTACGCCCTGCTCCTGGTCAGTTACAGGTGGGTCAATGCTTAGCACCGGGGCTCGGTTTTGGTTAGCCCATTCCACAGCTGCTTTATACCAAGGTTGATCACGCAGGAAAGCATTTTCATGGCAGTCCAGGCAGTGAATGACCAAATCTACAGGGCAATCTGGCAGATCTGAGAAGGAAATAAAAACAGGAAAACACATTAGGAAGCAGAATTATCATGATGGCAATAATAAAAAGTGCCGTTATCCATTTTGAGCCAACCATAGTACACAGATACACCTTTTCCTGGAAATGTATAATAAAGCCCTCCCAGATAATTGTTTGCTTAGGTATAGACCTATATATCCTAAATAATCAAAACATATGTCTACTGTGAAGCCATAGTGAGGGGAATTTATCAAAACTGGAGCAGACAGCATCTGGAGCAATTGTCCATGGCAACCAATCAGCTTCTCTCTAAGGTTGGTTCATTTAAGTTTTGAAAATGGAGAGAAGCTGATTGGTTGCCATGCACAGCTGCTCCAGATTCTCTCTTCTCCAGTTTTGATAAATCCCCCTCATTGTATTTTCATCATGTTCAAATTTGGGCTTATTGTAACATTTACCCCACAATAATTTTCTGACATTTCTACTTGTTTGCCATTTTGGCAAATGTATTTCATATACAGATTTGCACATGCGCTCCCCCTTAAAAGACTTTAATGTATTGATGAATCGTATTCCATATCTTGCACAATGATGTATATAGTGAGCTTAGCCTCCTTTTGTTGGCTTTGTTTAGGAGAGCCCTGACCCTCAGACCCGCCCTGAAATACAGAACACAGGTATGTTTTCTGATCCATTGATTTCTGATGAGCTCCTCTGACTTCACAACAACTACTGAGATGTAAGCATTCTATAACAAAGTAATATACCCCTCCATAACAGAGTGCCCCTTCACTCTCCTCTCTAAGGTGCTATGTGCAACACTGGGGGTTTAGAGCACCCCACCTTTCTCCTTGGAGGTTTAAAATATGTCACCCTCAGTATATTTAATTGCCTCCATGTGTGCTGACACGGAGCATGAATGGCCACATGCAGTCATTAGGTTTACAAGGTGGTTTGTAGAACTCTCAGAATGTTGCCAGCTTAGCAGAAGCAGCAGAAAATGGGGGTAAGGGGGCACTTTTGGGGGTGATAGAAACATAGCACGTACCATAAAGAATTTGCTTTTTCTGCCACATGGGATTGGTAGAGCTTTACAGCTTGAAGCAAAGCAGAAATTAGAATGGAGCTGAGCTGACATTCTGGGGCTGCTCTTTGCAATGCTGTCATACATGATTGTCATATGTAACAGTCTTGTTACCTGTAAATCCATTTCCTGTAGTAGGGTGACAGTGCTGTTCATTCTGCAGCATTGTCACCCTGAGGATAAGGTGATCTTAGATGTAATTCTGCATTGAGTATGAAACAAAGTAAATCTTCACTCCAGATAACTAATTTAAGCAGTTCCAGGACCATTATTTTCCCCGGATAGGGGGAGACTGCACCCCAGTCATTGCATGTGACACCAGGACAACAAATTAGCATATTCGGGAACTTTCAAATCGCTTGATACCATGGGATTGGGAGAAAGTGTGGCTAACAGCTTGGTGACTGTGGGGACAATATCAGAACACAGGGGCCAGCCTGGAACTGGAGCTCAGTAGCTGCAACGACTCTGCAGCCCTAACCGGCAAGCATCTTCAATCTGTAATTAGTCTATTTAAATGAAGAAAAGTAGTCACTTTCAAAAATCAAAAGGGAAACACATTTAAAAAAAAATGAAATATGGAATAAACAATGATGCATCCCAAATGTTGTCAGTTTTAAGTTCCTTTAGAGAAAATTGTGGGTTCTTTTTTCATGGAAGGGTACCAATAAATTTGTCCAAGGTTGTGGGTGGCTGCACTCCTGGCTTATTTAAATCAGGGGTAGGCAACCTCGGCACTCCAGCTGTTCTCAAAAGTACAGTCCCATGAAAACAAAAGGTTTTTGCCAGAGCTGCACTTATTTCTTCCACCACATGATGGCAGTACAACACAACTTTGGATTGCGCTCTCTGTGCTATTTCTGAAGTATCTGGTTCTTTCTTATCCCAATGAAGCCTAGAATATACACAATTATAACTTCCGTAAAATAGGATCATCAGGCAGCTGAAAAGGCTGCAGAGAGATTGTATATGGGAAATTTTTAAAACATTAACTGAAGTGTGCCTAAAAAAATGTCTCCCCAAAACGGCATGAGAACCAATTGCTACTTTTCAACAGACAATAGCAGGAAAGTAGTTGGAAATCACTTATTAGTTAATTCAGTTAATATTTACCAACAGAGTCACTTACTGGCAACTGCTCGTCATAGCCACTGTGCAATTTCTTGGGTTATTATAGAGGAGTGTATTAAATAAAACTGGAATAAAGGAGAGGGAGGGTGATGCCCACAGAAACCTGTAGGCTGGATTTACATTGCTCCCTGTGCATACACCAAGTAGAAGAACATATAATGTAGGTGTCTTCAATGCTAAACCGCAGCGCATATATGTGAAGCAGCCACATAGGAAAAAATGGGATCTACTTAACGTGCATTTTTATGCAGCAACACGAAAAGTTTTGCTGCATCATATAGGACAAGTGTGAAAAGGTCCTTATACTGCAAGCGGTATTGGTGCAGGTTCCGTCCTTTCTGTATGTATCCTTACCAACCACTGGGATGATAAGTGACAGTTTAAATATGGACGTCTCAGATATGTATTGGTTTGCATGTGTAAAGAGAGACAAGTACAATAAACATTCATAGAAATGATTTTAATTAGGCTTGCAACAACCAATCGATAATAATCGATGAGAATAGTTAGCAACGAGAGAGAGAGAGAGCGAGAGAGATGCAACCAATCGATTAGTTGAAATAATAAATCGGGCAAATAATCGAGTATGAAAATAATCGTTAGCTGCAGCCCTAATTTTAATTAACAAGGAGGAGAGAGACACACTGAGAACTAGCAAAAATGTGCATACTACATAAACAAATGTTTTGTCTAGACAAATCCGCTTTCAAAATAGAAACAGTGTATTCTGTAAATAAAGGCTTTACAAGGTCATGCTAACATGGTTATTACAGTATAAGAGGGTTTTTACCCAGTTCACATGACCGTTTCCCCAGTATATACATGCCCCCCCCAGCACTGGCATCTCTCTGTCTACCAGATCAGAGTTGGTTACCACCAGTTTCCTAATCCGTAAACTAGGGATAATTCTTTTTGAATCTGTTGCTGCCATAGCGACAGGTTCTTCAAGTGGCACTAATAAGAACTACCTGAATCTGTTGCACATGTCAAAACCGCTGCCAAAACTATCGCAAGGACTTAATGAATCAGGGACAGGTTGTATTAAAAGGGACCCCACCGTCAGAAAAGAGTCCTATTTGCTTTAATGAAATCCCCCCCTCCCCCCACCAGGATAATACAGCCATTCCATTGAAAAAATTTCTGTTGATAAAGTATCATGCTGATGTTAGGAAGTCACAATTTATATTAACAAGCTTTACTCATTCTCTAAATGCATAATGCAGTAGAAACATTTCTGCACAGATTGCAGCAGCAACAAATCTTTCTGCTTATTGTGTCTTGTGATTTCTAGCAGGTTACAGAGCCGCTGCTGTGACGGACTACAATCATTCTTCATGCAGCCCTAAATCACTGGTGTTACATTAGGTTCAGTAGCTGCATTGGATAGGATCAGACACTGAAGCTGACAATTCTGGAACTAGCTCCAAATGCTGCACAAAGTCAACCAATGCGTTACAAAATCACTTGTATCACATGACATATGTCTTTATTGGCTAAGTTATTTCTCACATTGCAAAATAAATCACGGAGTCATTAACATAAAAAATAGGGACAGAATTGTCAGCTTCAGTAGATAATCGTGTTATTCTGTGCAATTGCTAGCGATCATGGCAAACTAGCGATGTGTAGCTGCTACAATCTCTGCAACAAGCTTGCTAAAGTGTCCTTACCCTTGGCTTCCCAGTGCCGGGGCTGAGCTGAACGGCCCTTACCTTCAGGCTACAATTCCTCACTCATAGCGACACCCTTGTGGGCAATATGGTCATAATAGGCCCTATGCTCCTACACAAAGTCCTGGCCTGTAATATAACTTTTATCACTAAGTCTCTCTCATTACAGCCAAAGTGATAGAGAGCTGCTTGTAGTGACAGCAACTGATGGCACCGCGTACAGAAATCACAAGTAGAAAAGAAGTCACAGGCACTTCATATATTTGAAATAACCAAGTTTGATTTATTCTCAGAGTGTCACATGACTATACAATCCAATGTTTTGGGGCCACAGAGGGGGCCCTTCTTCAGTGTAACAGTGACATTTTGTCACTACTGAGGAAGGGACCTTGCTTGGCCCCAAAACGTTGGATTATATACGCATGTAACGCTTTGTAAATGAATCCTAGTTGATTATTTCACACTCATTGAGTGCTGGTGACTTCTCTTCTACATCTGGCTTGTAAGAGGGCTTTAATAAAAGAAAAGACTAACCCAACCAAATGGAAAGCCTGAAGTAATACTATGGCTTTTAGTGTCAATATATATGTTGTGAGGCAGAACAACTGTTTATACTTCTCCCAGTAGACAGGAAAAACACTTGGAGACTGACATAGGGCATGCATTTTAAACCTAACTTCCTGTTTCGGTGGATAGGTATGGTAATCTTGTGTGGGTGTCATCAAGGAAGCTGCACTAGAAAATAAATACAACCAAAGCTCTGATTTATATTGTATTCATGCACAACCCTCTATACCCCAAGTAAAGGATGTCTCTCCAGATGTACCAGGAGCATAGATAATGCAATTGTCTGCTACTGCGCTATTTTGTTTAATATATTGTGGGAGAAGTTTATATAGCTTCTCTCTATCTCTGCAGCTGTCAATAGGGTGTTTTTGAGGAGATTGGGGCAGAGCACTACAGCGCGGATAATCATTTGTTTTGCAATTGTCTGCTACTAACAGACTTGAAGAAACACCCCTGGTTCTGTCTGATAGCTTAATACAAGTCAATGACTCACCTTTGACATTTGACACTTGCTTGCCTTCAGTCCGACAGAACAGGTTCAGCTCATTAGTAACAGGTTCCAACATCTTAACAAAATTTGGTAAGAAAAGGATAACGTCTACATCATGATTGGCCAAATGACGGCCACAGCTAATGCCTTGAGCTCCTTTGATGTGAGGTCCACACAGAAGAGCCACAGTAGGCCGTTGGTGTATGTTTTTCGGATTTAACCTAAAAGTATAAGGATGCAATTAACATTGGGATACATTACACAAACTCTAAATCCGTACTTATAATAAACAAGCCGTGTGCTGAAAACATTACTGAGAGCACCCAACTTCCAGCAAGCATTTATATTGCTCACATTGGATGCATATTTTTTTACTTATTAATAAACAGGATCTGGCAGCAGAATCCTAAGACCAAAAATAAAACAGTTTGCTCAACCCTAACACGATGAAAACCTAAATAGTATTATAGTTTTTATACAATGTCTCCACTACAGATACCAATAGTAGAGCACACAAAAAGACAAGTAATGCACCCGAGAAGGTATTTCATAAGCACAATAACTTTAGTGTTTATGTTATGAGGCAGTTAATGATCATTGTAATCTTAAGACCTGAGAGATTTCGGTGTGTTTCATGCAGCAGCAATGATATCCGGTTTATTCACTCTGAAGACCAACCCACACCTAGTAATTTATCTGTGCTTGTTTATACACACGCAAGGCTTACAAAGCACGACCTTGTTAAATTGGTTTGTACTCTAGAGACCTTTGCAGAACTGGTATTACAGGAACGGTGTGAGAGCAGGAAGACAGGAGAGCAGAAGATCTGCATCGCGTGTGAAAAGAACATTCCAGGGACACTCATATCGCTTTAACAGTGGGAGATTGAGTCTGTCTGTAGAACTGGCTTCATTCCTCATCTCTTATCTTGCACGCGCCTTTGCTTGGTTCCCAGTTTGAGCTGAACTTTACTGGGTCTAGAAATGACAATTATGGGATTGAGAGCTTAAGACATATTTTCACTGAACTGCTGCTCATCTTTCCTGACACTTTGTCTTGATGAGTAAGAAAGCAAAGCAACTAGATACAGTAGCCTGAAACTAAATGCACTTGTAAGAGAATGGGCTTCTTACATACAATGTGTGTACAAAATGTCCAGATTTCTAATGTATGCCGAATCAATATTCACTTTATGAAGTATGAGGACAGAAAGAGGAAGAAAGTCACATATCTTACTTAAAAGTGACACTAAACCCAGGAGTTAAAACTTAACTATTAACATAAATGTCTCTTATTTGTGTATCACTCGGCTGTAGCTCCTTAAATCATCTCTGAATTGGTGCTGACACTGTCCTTCCTTCTGGAGGGTGGCTACTTTTGCTCCCCATGGTCCCTGTGTGTGTTGTAAAGTAGTCACTGCTCCAAGCTCGCTCCCGTGATGGACTACAATCTTTAGTTTACTAATGTATATTAAGATTGTTGTCCATCACAGGAGTGAGCTTGGAGCGGTGACTACTTTACAACACACACAGGAACCATGGGGAACAAAAGTAGCCACCCTCCATGAGGAAGGACAGTGTCAGCACCCATTCAGAGATGATTTCAGGATCTACAGCTGAGTGATGTACAAATAAGATACATTTTGTTATTACGGTAGTTACTTGAATGTACTTCTAAAATTTAAATGTACTGTAGAGACAAAGCTATAATTTTGACACTTTATGGATCACTGGTTCGGCCTCATCTAGAGTATGCGGTCCAATTTTGGTCGCCTATCCACAGAAGGGATGTCCTTGAGCTGGAGAGAGTCCAGAGAAGGGCAACTAAACTAATTAAGGGGATGGAGGACCAAAGCTATGAGACAAGGTTACAAAACTTAAATATGTTCACGCTGGAGGTGCGGAGATTAAGGGGGACATGATTTTGATGTACAAGATGTTCAATGGTGATAGCAACATCAGCAATAAACTTTTACGGTAAACTACATAACAAAGACCAGAGGCCACCGCCTAAAATTGGTGGAAAAAAGATTTAACCACAAGGAGCGTAGGGGATTATTTTCCGTTACAGCGGTTAGGGTCTGGAACTCGCTGCCGCAAGCAGTGGTATCAGCTCAGAGTGTTGAATCATTCAAAATGCATTTGGACAATTTCCTCAGAGACCGTAACATACAGGTACCCTTACAAAATAAGATCACACGGGGACTCGTACACAAGCATACAAATGCAGAATCCAAAACGTACACACAATAGGTTGAACTTGATGGACCTGTGTCTTTATTCAACCTCAAATACTATGTAACTCCTGAGTTTAGTGTCACTTTAACTCTGTCACAGGTTATCTACAGCCCAGCAGCACACAATACAATGCAAGTCCTGGGATGTTGGTGATACCATCACACTTGTGGTCATATTGTATACGCACTTGGTGCCTCCGCAGACTGTTTAAGTGCATGCAGAAGTTTTTTTGGCATTTGTCTACATCCTGTAATAAAATCAAAGGTAACTGAAGTATCCCATAAGCAACTATGCAAAGAGTCTTCTGGCCTTCCCTTCTTGCGTTTAAAGTGGAGTGCTTGGATGGTCTTGTTAAAAAGGTACATTTAACCTTTGGCAAATGCTCTGGCTCCTGCTGACTGTTCCTCCCGTAACTTGGACGGAAGAATGAATGCACTACAAAGTGCAGTGACGTCACTACGCGTGAATTGCACTGAAGCTACAAGTTCCTTTGCCACGGTGACAGACGGGACTTGTCTCTTATTAATAGATCCTGTGATTTGACCAGGTTTCATGTTACACGCTTAACATGGGTGTAACATAAAACATGGTCAGAAAGGTGGACTAAGCCTTTAAGAATTATGCTAGAACATTGTTATTCTGCATGTATGCTTTCACAATGAACGTTTTCATGTCAAGAAAGAGCATGAGAGAGTGAATGAAATATCACAGCTCACCTGTTGGGCCCACCAAGTAATGTGAGAGCCATTTGACTGGCACAAACGCCTGACATTTCCAACCGTTTCTCCACTGTGAGGCCATGCTTCTCAGCCACACTTAACAGCTTCTTGTGCATGCTATAAGAGATACTGGGGACCACCAGACCTGAATCTGTAGGACAGACACAAAAGTTGTCAAGAAGACAAGACAGACAGACAAACTGTGCAGCAGATGAGCATTGTAAATTATAGGCAAAAATCGTGCCGTCAAACATGAGTACTGTCGTTCTCCCCAGAACTTTAGAAACACAGTCCATAGGTTGACCATAGTCCAGTAATATATAGTATTGTTACTATGGTATTAGGGGATTATTACAATTGTCATCAGAACAGCAATGGAGGGGAAATCTTCAAATGAGAACACTTGTTCCAGTGACAACTACTCAAGAGGGAATTTATTTCACTTTGGAGAGATTTTCTCCTAACTTT